CCCCGACCGGGACTAGAACCCGGTGTGCTGGCGCCGCTAGGCAGAGGATTAGCCTATTGAGCCGCAGCGCCAGCCCTCATTCTCTCTTTAACCCACTCCAATAGGACTCGTTTCCATCATCATCATCTTCGCTTCATTGAAACAGCTCTTGACAGAGTTAGCAAATTCTATGGTCATGGAATTCGATCTTCCTTGGATTCTCAGAGGCCTCCAACCCTGCCATTCTCTCTTTCCGTCTTGGGCTTGGCTCCTACTCCTTTGCAGGCTCACCTCCTTTATCTTCCACATTCCTGAACAGTGCCTTCACCACCTTGGTGAATCGCAACTCTACTCCTTCCAGCAGCTCAGCCTCAGGGTCCTTGCATCTCGCACCCACCGCAAGGCCCACTGGCTTGAACTCAAAATATCCTAGAGCTGAGCATGTGCCATCTCCACTGCTGCTGTTCCTGGTGCACACAGCTGGCATCTCTTGACCAGATCACCATAGCTACCTCCTCCAGGGTCTCTTCCTCTGTGTCTCTTCTGTCCACTTCCAACACCCAGCGCCTCTGTTAAATCCAAAGTCAGGATCTATTACTCAAAACCTTCATGTGGCTTCTCTCACTCTGTGTGGGGAACTACCACGCCTGTGCCGCCGCTCTGGCTGAACTGGCCTCCATGCTACTCCCTGCACTCCATACACTCTCTTGGACTTGGACTTGCCCCCCACTCCCCAGAATGGTGTGGTTGGCTCCCTACAATCTCACTCAGACGTCACCTTGCAAGAGGTCTTCTCTGATTTCTCTGTCCCATAAATACCTTTGCCTTCCAACACACAAAATAATTATGGTTTTACTTATTGTCTCCTTCAAGGAGGGCAGAGAGCACTTCCTGCACCAGGGCCAAAGCTCAACAGTCCCGGCTGAATGATGGCTGCCCTGTCTTTTAGGGCTTGCTGCTGTTGGTGAGGTGGGTGTAGAAGGAGGTGGCGCACTGGCATGCTTACGTAGGGGTGCGATGGCATGAATGCTGGCACAAAGGGTCTCAGGCTAGCTGAAGAGCAGTTCTTTCACTGTGTGCTGTGAGGCCTCGGGGAAATGCGAAACCAACACCCGAAGTACCTGGATCTCTTCCAGTGTCTCCACCCCGTGCCTGCAGCTGAGAGCGAGGAAGTGTTCCCAAAGCCACACCACAGGCTGCTAAGAGGAGCAGCTCACGGGTCAGTTATAACTGAGTGGACCTCACTCTAGGCTACGCTTCTCAACATACACGAAGCTATCCTAAAAGCAAAAGCTAGTGTCTGTCCTGAATGAACAACAGACTACTGACAGGTTCTGATCAGAATTGCCATTTTGCACCCGGATAAAATCCTTGAGAAGTAACTGAGCTAATCTGTAGAGAGCCAGCACCCTCAGCCAGATGTCACCCAAGTCGAGGACACTTGCTTTCTTCTCTAGTTCTGATGAACTAGAAAAAAAGAGGATCCTTTCCTTCACATAAACTTTCACTTTCCCTTACTAGTTTGAGAAACAAGTCTTACACTGAGGCGTTCCAAGAAGTCTTCAGAAAGACGTCGTTTCTGCGCATGGAAGAACTACACTTTGGAACTGTAAACATCGCAGTATCGTGTATCACTTTAGGGGATGGGGCTGTGTTCCAAATCCCCCAGCTTGTTACCCTGCTCGCTGTCTTTAGTGAGCCTTGGAGTCTTCCCAACATCTGTAGAAAACAGCACTTCCCTGAAAAACATGTTCTGATTTGAGGTCAGCCCTCCTCTTGGCATTGTCTGAAAGGCTGGGGAAAGAAGCGCTTGGGAGCAAGGTTCCTAATGTGGGAGAAGCTGAATTACTCCACAGCACCGCACACTACACTGACTTACAATGGCTGGGTCCAAGCACTGACCCACAGCTGAATACCACGGCTGTGACTCAAGGCAGCAGGACACGCAGCACGATCAACTACAGAGGCCAACATCAGCATGATCACCAGAGTTTCAAAAACACAAATATGAATCCGTTAGCACCCTTTATTAATCACTGGTAGCTTGTGCCTGGCTCATGGTATGTGCTCAGGAGACATCTGCTGAGTAGAGAAATGCACACCCCAACCATGTGTCCTACTCAGGCACCAGAGAGTTCCTGAGGGGGAAGGAAACTGGGTCAACCGTGAGCACTGGCAGTGGGGGTCTGACACCAGTTCTTGCAGCCATCAGGTACATTCACGCCTCAACATGGTTTAAGTGGGACCTGGGCTGAGAACGACTACTGCTTCCGTGTGAAAATTCCTTCTCAGAATTTCATGGGAAATGTATGTCTTTTCAAATCCTAAGAAAAATCAGCTGAGAAATCTCTCGTGAGAATAAAGCCTAACAACCACTGTAGAAATGTTCCAGATGTAAGGAACCTCCCAGAGTCAGGCTGCCAGCCAGAGTGGGAATACTGACCCACGGAGTAGAAGACCACAGTGGACACAAGCAGCAACCAGGAGGAGAGGGCAGGAGGTGGGCAGGGCGGAATCCGCTCGTCTTGCTCGCGCTGTGGCCGTGCTGCCCATGTGTTTTTAACGATGTGTGCTCAAGGCCCTGTGCACTACAGTGAGTCATTCTCGAAAACAAAGTAAATACTAAAAAGCCCACGTGCACAGCAGAACTTCCATAAATCTTACTAGTGATGTCCAAGAACTATCATGTTTTGGAAGCAGTCATTAAATTGGCAATTCTGACATATGTTCTCTGCAGTGCTGCTGGATCTCACCCACAGGTGAATGCTTCATTATTTCAATACTTCTCAATGTTTGCCAAGTATTTTCCAATTCAATATTTGCTACAGGTTATGGTTCTCTGTAAATATTTTAACAGAAGAAATGCAAAGAGAAATATCCCTACATAATCAGAAACTTATCTAACATTTGATTAGCAAAAGCAATATAAATTTCGAAGACAAAATCAGCAAGAACAGAGAAAATATTTCAGTGTTGGGGTCAGCATTGTGGTACAGCAGGTTAAGCAGCCAAAAGCAATGCTGGCAGCTCATGTGAGCACCGGTTCAACTCCTGGCTGCTCTACTTCTGATCCCGCTGCCTACTGATGCTCCCGGAAAAGCAGCAGCAGATGACCCTGCCACACATGTGGAGACCCAGATGAAATTCCAGGCTCCTGGCTTTGACCTGGCCCAGCCCCAGCCACTGCGGCCATTCGGGGAGTGAACCAGTAGATGGGAAGATCTTTCTCTGTGACTCTGCCTTTCAATGAAATAAATCTTTAAAAATAAAATAATTTCATCCTTAAAAAAGAAAATGAGGAGTGCGCATTGAGCATAGAGGTTAAGTGGCCACTTAGGATGCCTGTGTCCTGTACTAGGAGTGCCTGATTCCAGTCCCAGCTCCCCTGCTTCCAATTCCAGCTTCCTGCTAATGTCTTCCCTGGGAGGCAACAAGTGATGATGGCTCAAGTACTTGGGTTCCAGCCCCCCATGTGGAAGACCTGGATTGAATTTCAGGCCCAGCCCTGGCTGTTAGTATTTGGGGTATGAAGCAAAATGAAAACTTTTTTCTAGGCCTGGTATATTGGTAATGAAACAAAAATCAAAAACTATTAGGGCAGCTGGTGTTTCTGAATTTAAAAATCTTATTTTAAGAATAATTTTTAAAAATATTTATTTATGGCCGGCGCCGCGGCTCACTAGGCTAATCCTCCGCCTAGCGGCGCCGGCACACCGGGTTCTAGTGCTGGTCGGGGCGCCGGATTCTGTCCCGGTTGCTCCTCTTCCAGGCCAGCTCTCTGCTGTGGCCAGGGAGTGCAGTGGAGGATGGCCCAAGTGCTTGGGCCCTGCACCCCATGGGAGACCAGGAGAGGTACCTGGCTCCTGCCATCGGATCAGTGCGGTGCGCTGGCTGCAGCGCGCCAGCCGTGGTGGCCATTGGAGGGTGAACCAATGGCAAAGGAAGACCTTTCTCTCTGTCTCTCTCTCTCACTGTCCACTCTGTCTGTCAAAACAAACAAAAAAATGTAATCATATCACAACATTTTAATTCACGATAACAACAAACCAGGCACTTATTTCATACATATGTATATGTAAGTATACATGAGGGTACTTTGAAAAGTATGCAGAAAAATGGAATTACAAATTTGTAAGTATATACTTCTATATGTAAGTTTACAAGTATATAAACTACTAAATATTGACCAGCATTAGATATGTTAAATTGAAAGTGCAAAAATATTTTGAAATCCTTGTCTTTTTGTCATAACACACATTTTCAGAAACTTTCTGAAGTACTCTCACATAAATCACTTTTTAAAACTTAAGTGTATTCCTATCACAGGATAATTACTCACTGTTGATTATGACAGTCACAACCTCTATTATTTAAAAGCAAAACCAAGAAGCTTAAATCTTTTTTTTTTTTTTTTTTTTCAATTTGAGAGGCCGAGAGACAGATTTAAGAGACCTCCTATCCATTGGTTCACTCCCCAAATGCCTACAATGGCCAGGACTTAGCCAGGGCTGCAGCCAGGAGCCAAGAACTCAGTCCAGGTCTCCCACGTGGGTGGCAGGGACACAATGATTTTTTTTTTTTTTTTTGACAGGCAGAGTGGACAGTGAGAGAGAGAGACAGAGAGAAAGGTCTTCCTTTGCCGTTGGTTCACCCTCCAATGGCTGCCGCGGCCGGCGCGCTGTGGCCGGCGCACTGCGCTGATCCGATGGCAGGAGCCAGGTGCTTTTCCTGGTCTCCCATGGGGTGCAGGGCCCAAGCACTTGGGCCATCCTCCACTGCACTCCCGGGCCACAGCAGAGAGCGGGCCTGGAAGAAGGGCAACCGGGACAGAATCCGGCGCCCTGACCGGGACTAGAACCTGGTGTGCCGGCGCCGCAAGGCGGAGGATTAGCCTAGTGAGCCGCGGCGCCAGCCGGGACACAATGATTTGAGCCATCATGGCTACAAAACACAGGTCGCCTGTTACTGGGACTGGCGGTGTCGGGATACAGTACATAGTGTACTATTCCCTCCTAACTTACCTCTAAGATGCTGGAGTTCCATGTTCAAACTTTCAATGTTACTCTCGTAGAACTCGAGATTCTCAAGGGTCTCGGCCCTTAACGACTCGTCTTGCTTCTCCTCCAGCATTAAGGTGAGCTCCTCCTGAGCCCTGCTGTACATGTCCAAGTCCCGCTCCACCTCCTGGATCCTCACCAAGACGAAGGGGCACGGGGAGGTGGGGTCCAGACTGCCCTGCACATGTTCAGAGTGCTCCTCTCCCAGGGTGTCACAGCTGGGATGGTGAGAGGTCAGGAGCTTGGGGGACCCCGCATTCGTCCTCTGCTGTGCTGAGGGAGGTAGGGGAGCTGGGCGAGAGGGTCGCATGGCCAAGGGAGGTGTGGGCGTCTGGCTCTGGTCAACGAGATGGGGAGAAGTGGGTGCTGGGGTGCAGGGACGGGGTGGCGGTGGCCTTAATGCCCTCCTCCTGTCTGGCAGCTCCTGTGGGGTGGCTGACTTGGAGGAACCTCGGACGATATCCTTCTCAGAGTTAAAGTCCATGATGGAAAAGTGGCGGAAGATTCTATCTGGCCCAGTGCCAGGGCCTGCCAAGCTCTTCTCAAACTCTATCAGCTGTTGGGTCAACTTAGAGTCCAGGTCAATGCTGCCCTCGCCATGGGGAGGTGCTAGGACTTCCAGAGCGGGCCGCTTGCCTTGTGGATCACGCTTCAGCTCTGATCTCTCCAGCACGGAGTCAAAACTGCGAGCGTTTTCTTGGGATGCACGGTGCTTCTTAGCAGCCCTAGCCGGGCCCTGCCGCTGAGGACTCCAGGTACTGGGCCTGACTCCCCGGGAGGCTGGAAGGGAAGATCCTCTGTGCAGGCCAGGCAGTGGCGCTGGTCGAGTTCTCAGCTGGGAACCCGTTCTGCTGGGAGGTAGGCTGGAGTAGTTTCTAGTCCTGGCTGCCGGAGGAAGGTCAGAGTACCATGCTGAGCCCTGGGGGCCCCCTCCTGCGGTGGGATAATACTGGCTCCTCTGCAGTTTCGGGTGGAGAGGCACCTGCGGTTGGGAGGAAAGGCCATTGACCACCCCTGTGGGACGTGCTGTGGGTGAGTCTCGGGCAGGAGGCCTCTCGTGCTCCCCAGGCGGGCTGCTCAGGGACCCTCCCGAGGTGCCCTCATCCTGGTAAGATGTTTCATACTCAGAAGCCAGACTGTCGTGGGCAGAAGCGGATGTTTCAGAAACATCCCAGTTGGACTTCTCGGCCTCACACTCACGAGGTTCCCACCTTGGCTCCTCCACTGCTAAGGGATTCTCCAAACAATCCGCGGAGCTCTCAGGGATCTCGGGATGGCCACCTTCCTGGGGCAGGGGCAGGGGCAGGGTCTCCTCCACCTGCCTGTCAGGATACAACTTCACGAACCGGTAAGGAAAGATGCCTGTCCTGCCTTTCAGGGAGCCTTCCAGCCAGCCATCCTCCAAGGTGGCCAGGATTCGGATTTTATCCCCGACATCGAAATCCAGCTCATTTGGCTCCAGGGCCTGGAATCTGTAGAGTGCAATTCCGTAGGTCCCTGGCTGCTCCTCTTCCTCGCCTGGCCCGCTCTCCTCTTCTCCCACGGGAGCATCCACTTCACCGTTACCAATGCAGTCACCCTGATTTCCAGAACCCACCAACTCGTCCACAGTCCTCAGCGGTCCCAGAAGCTCTACAAAGCCTTCGGGGAAAATGCCTCTTCGACCCTCCAACTCCCCTTCAAACCAGCCCGGTTCGGGAACTCCAATAATAGTAATCACATCCCCTTCCCTGAAGTCCAGTTCCTCATCCAGCTGGGCAGAGAGCCCCATTAGGGCCCGGGCTTGTCCCATGGAATATTCAGGAATCTGAAGCAGAGTGCTCTGTGAGTGCCACTGCCTACTCTGTGAGGAGAGGCAGAGCTCACGGACACATGAGGATGGGAAGAAGCCCCGGGCACCCCAGCAGCTTCGGCCCTGCAGCCAGCCTGCCACGGGAGCACCGTCGAGAACCACCAGGTCACCTGGAAAGAAAAAAGCCAAGGTGAGGACCCACACATCCCCCAGCAGAGGACTACCGTAACCAACAGAGCAGCTCATCATTCCAGACATCCACCAAGTTCAAGGCAATGTGCCTGGAGTTTTAAGAGCAAAAATGCTTGTGACAATTTCCTGGCTTGAAACATTCCGGTAAACCTGTGGTTTACACAGAGCCATCACGGAACCCAGGCAGCATGTTCCTGGGAGCCTTTCCCAGGCCCCGTGAGAGCAAAGCTCTTTTCACAGCTAACACTAAGATGTTATGGTCACCTTTTCACCTGCTGACACTTGCAACAGCTGTGCAAAAGCATCAGTGGGTGAAACTGCTAGTAACAAGAACCAAGGCAGTGGCACCAAATTACACAGATGGTCACTGTCTGCTCCTTGTATTCTCCACCATGCAAGACTGTTTTTTAAGGCTGCTTTCAATTAAGAACATCTTTGATGAAGCAAGACAAAGCATTTTGTTGTAGTAAGTCTCAACCCTTGGGAACACTTCTTTTGTAAGATCCTGAGCTATGGTAACAGGAATTACCCTGAAGTCTGGTTCCCGATTGTCTCCAGGAAAAACACTCGAGTGATGGAATTAAAACTTGAACCAGTCACTTTTCTCCACGGTACATTGTTTCATGTGAAATAACGATGGACGGACAACTCTGGTTATTCAGCATGGGCTACTAGGCAGATGTTTTCTCCAAAATGAAAGTGAGTCTGTAACTTCAAGGAAAGCAAGCAACAGCATGTGTTGCCAGTGATAAAATCTCAACTTCCAAGCAAAAATTACAATTCTGAAAAATGGGACAGGCATTACGGCATGGCAGGTGAAGTCCTGGCTGCTCCACTTCCAATCCAGCTCCCTGCTAATGCTCCTTGGAAAGTAGAAGAAGATGGCCCAAGTGCTTGGGCCCCTGCATCCACGTGGGAGACAAAGAAGCTCCTGGCTCCTGGCCTCAGTCTGGCCCAGCCTGCTGTTGTGGCTATTTGGGGAGTGAACCAGCGGAGAGAAGACTGCTCTGTCTCGCCCTCTCTCTCTGCAACTGTGCCTTTCAAGCAAACAAGATAAATATTTAAAAATTTTTTTGGAAAACTTGTGTCGCCTATCATGAGCTTGACAGCTTTCTCATGCGCTAATATTTTTCTAATGAGCTCACTAGAGATATTAACAAATGTCATTTTTAAATATCCTATCTCCTTCAAGTATTAATCAGTCCTGATCTATTTTTTATACCATATAATGAAATGGTTAACATTTGGAAAAATGGAATAACTCAATGAATCAGTGACCAATGTATGATGTTACAAGTGTATTCATGGCTAAAAGAGTTATCCCAAAAGCAAGACAGACAATGGATTTTTCTATAATAATATGAAAAGTTTACTGATATAGTTTCACATCCTATACTGCAATTAACCCATAAGAAACTACCACTTGGGGCTGGTGTTGTGGTGCAATGGGTTAAGCCTCCACCTGCAACACTGGCATCCCATATGGGAGCGCCACTTGAGACCCAGGTGCGCCACCTCCAATCCACCTCCTTGCTAATGCTCATAGGAAAGCAGTGGACCATGGCCCAAGTACTTATGCCCCTGCCACCCTCATGGGGACCCAGATGAAGTTCCTAGCTCCTGGCTTCAGCCTGGCCCAGCCAGCTCCATATCAGCCATCTGGGCAATGAACTAGTAGATAAAAGATCTCTCTCTCTTTAAAGATTTATTTATTTATTTGAAAGGCAGCATTACAGAGAGGCAGAGACAGAGGCATAGAGAGAGAGAGAGAGAGAGAGAGAGAGTGAGTGGGAGGGGGGAGAAGGGAGAGGGGAGAGGGGAGACGGGAGAAGGGAGAAGGGAGAGGGGAGTCTTCCATCCGCTGGTTCACTCCCCAGTTGGCTGCAGCAGCCAGGGCTGGGCTAGGCTGAAGTCAGCAGCCAGGAGCTTCTTCTGGGTCTCCCACGTGGTACAGGGAACCAAGCACTTGAGCCATCCTCTAGCTGCTTTCGCAGGCTATTAGCAGGGAGCTGGATCAGAAGTGGAGCTGCTGGGACTCAAACTAATGCCCACAGGAGATGCTGGCACTGCATGCAGAGGCATAACCTATGCCATAATACTAGCCCTAAAAGATCTCTCTGTTTCTCCCTCTCCTGTTACTCTGCCTTTCAAATAAATAAACCTTTTATTTATTAAAAAAGAAACTACCACTTGTTGCATTTTGATGTGGTATCAGAAGAATACACACTACTATTTGACAAGACTACTGAAACCCTCCTCCTGTATCTGCATGAGGCAGGGCATTTTTCATTACTTCAACCAAGACTACAGATTGAATACAGATGCAGATATGAGAATCCGGGTGTCTTCTATTAAGCCAAACATTAAAAAGACTTTGTAAAATGTACAACAGGGGGCTGGCACTGTGGCACAGCAGGTAAAGCCACTGCCTGAAGTGCTGGTATCCCATATGGGCGCTGGTTCGAGACCCGGCTGCTCCACGTCCGATCCAGCTCTCTGCTATGGCCTGGGAAAGCAGCAGAAGATGGCCCAAGTCCTTGGGCCCCTGCACCCATGTGGGAGACCTGGAAGAAGCTCCTGGCTCCTGGCTTCAGATCAGCTCAGCTCCAGCCATTGTGGCCATTTGGGGAGTGAACCAGCAGATGGAAGACCTTCCTCTCTGTCTCTCCCTCTGTCTGTAACTGTACCTTCAAATAAACAAACAAAATCTTTAAAAAATAATAAAATGTAGGCGGGTGCCGCGGCTCACTAGGCTAATCCTCCGCCTTGCAGCACCGGCACACCAGGTTCTAGTCCCGGTCAGGGCGCCGGATTCTGTCCTGGTTGCCCCTCTTCCAGGCCAGCTCTCTGCTGTGGCCAGGGAGTGCAGTGGAGGATGGCCCAAGTGCTCGGGCCCTGCACCCCATGGGAGACCAGGAGAAGCACCTGGCTCCTGCCATCGGATCAGCGCGGTGCGCTGGCTGCAGCGCGCTGGCCGCAGCGGCCATTGGAGGATGAACCAATGGCAAAGGAAGACCTCTCTGTCTCTCTCTCACTGTCCACTCTGCCTGTCAAAATAATAATAATAATAAAATGTACAATTGGAAAACTATAGTTTATTTTTATTTTTCAGAAAAACATGTATTTTATGCTGAATATGTGATGAGTTTTTAAATGAATTGATATTTTTCAAATTCCCACTTTTAATAGTTAATGTATCAACCAATATAGCCAAAAGCAGAAGCTCTCTCTGGGGTCTCAATAACTTCTCAGGACACATAGGGATCCTGAAGTCCAACTGTTTAATACATAAGTGTTGGTATAAACAACGTTATGACATCCCATGCGACTAGATCAGTCTATAAGTGATCAAGGAGCATGTGAGGTCCAATATAGATAGCCCTTTGGATAGGGCTCCCCATGGACCTAATTTCCCACACTACATCTCATTCATCATCAAATCTGCACAGTAAGAAGTCTGCAGGAAAGAGCTCTCGGGTGGAAGTGCACAGTATGGGCAATGAGCTCTTCCTTCATTTTCTCCAGAGGGCTTCTTGAACTATCCCTATCCTGAAAAGATGTTATGGGATATTAAAATCAGTTTCCAGAAATTAGAACTTTGGCCTTTGAAAATAACCAATAGCGCAGGCTTTCTTTACAAAATACAAGCTAACCAGGTAGCATCTATCTTATGTTGAAGAAGCTGAAGAAAGGTTAACGCTGGGGTGGCATTTGGTGTGGCGCTTGAGACGCCTGCACACCATGTTAGAAAGCCTGGTTCAAGTCCCTGCTCCTCCACTTCTGCCCCAGCTTCCTGTTAATGGGCACCTGGGAGACGACAGGTGCTGGCTCAGGTACTTGGGTCCCTGCCACTTTTGTGGGAAACCTGGATTGAGTTCCAAGATCTTGACTTTGGCCTGACAGCCCTAGTTATTTGGGGAGTGAACCAGCAGATGGAAACTCCCTCTCTGCCTTTCAAACAAAAAAATACATTTTTAAGAAAGGATAAGAGCTGTTTCTAGGGGCTGGTGTTGTGGCTCTGCAGGAAGTAAGCAAGGAATAAGAGGATAGCAGCAGAAGAAAACTTAAGAGAGCGATAAGATATATTTTAAAAAAAAAGGCAGTGAAAGAGTTCAGCAAAGATTAGAAGTGAGCTCTAGTTGTTTTACATTTTGTGCAGGGGCCAGCGCTGTGGCATATCAGGTAAAGCTGCCCCAGTGCCAGCATCCCATATGGGTGCTGATTTGAGTCCTGGATGCTCCATTTTTTTTTTTTTTAGATTTATTTTATTTTACTTGAAAATCAGTTACACAGAGAGGAGAGGTGGAGAGGCAGAGAGAGGGAGAGAGAGGTCTTCCATCCACTGGTTCACTAACCAGATGGCTGCAACAGCTGGAGCTGCACCGATCCAAAGCCAGGAGCTTCTTCTGGGTCTCCCATGTGGGTGCAGGGGCCCAGGGACTTGGGCCATCTCTGTTGCTTTCCCAGGCACATTAGCAGGGAGTTGGATTGGAAGTGGAGCAGTTGGGATTCAAACCGGTGTCCACATGGGATGCTGGCACAGCAGGCGGAGGCTTTACCCGCTACGTCACAGCGCCGGCTCCTACTCCACGTCTGATCCAGCTCACTGCTAATGCGCCTGGGAAAGCAGTGGAAGATGACCCAAGTCCTTAGGCCCCTGCATGTTGGCATTGCCTAAAATCTCCATTACAATATGGCGCCTGGCTGATGTTTGAGGGGCGTGTCTGCAGCTGCTGTGGTTAAGCTACTTAAGATCAGACCACCAGCAGGGATAGGTCCGCTTTAGTTCCGGACACATGGACAGTGCGTGATCCCTATATCTCACTTAAGATGCCCCTGTGCGTGGTCCACCCATGCCTGCGGGACCTTTTCTCTGATTGGCTCCCCTACTGCACATGTCCTTCGTGAGCTTTATAAGCCTGTACACTTCCTCAATAAAGCGGTTCCTGCTTTGACAGAACTCACGGATACTTGTGGT